GGCGTATCAGGTAAGAACCAACGCCTTGTTCTCCAACGTTGGTGGAGACAGCGGTCATGCATGGGACGTACCAGAGCTGGGCTTGTCCCCGGGTGGGATTGAGACTGGGCTAGAAGCTTGAAGAAGGGAGAACTTGGAGGACTCGCCGTCCGAATGCTGCATCCGCCGATGCATATCTGTCCATCTTATAATGGCGGATAAAAGAATTAGGGGTTGCCCAGGTGGCCACCTTGCAGATCTCTTCCACTGAGGCCTGCCTTGTCCACGCTGCAGATGTAGCCGCGGTTCATATGGAATGTGCCGTGATGTTGGATGGAGGGGAGAGGTGGTTATAGCCGATCGGATCCAGTGCCCAACCATCGATCGCAAAGCTTTAGCCCCTTATTTGTGGGATGGAAAGAGGCGAAGAGCGGCCGTCTTGGCAATATAGATCTTAAGAGCCCTTCTGACATCTAACTTGTGCCATTTGCGCTCGAGACTATGAGAGGGATTAGGGCAAAAGTTCAGTAGGGTGAGGTCCAGGGACCCAACTGACCTTTGGGACAAAGGTGGGATCAATCTGAAAGACCACACGGTCTGGGTGAAAGGCACACAGGTCAGAACGGATGGAAAGAGTTGCCAATTCTAAGACGCGTTGTGCCGACGTGATAGCCACCAGGAAGGTTGTCTTCAATGTGAGATGATGCAGGGAGGCCGACCTGAGAGGCTCGAATAGTGGTCCAGTAAGGGAGTCAAGGACCCTGGTGAGATACCATGAGGGGAAGCTGGTGGATGACAGGAGGGCAGAGGTTAGACACGCCCTTATTGAAGCGTCGTACATGAGGATGCAAGGAGAGAAGCTCATTTCGGTGAACAGAGAGAACCGAGGACAGAGCTGAAACCTGCCTCTGCAAGGTGGTAGGCGTAAGCCCTTTTTTTAGTCCCTGTTGCAGGAACTCCAAAAGCTGGGAAACCGAAGCCTCCAGGGGAGAGACAACCATGTGCTGAAAGTCTGCCACATTGATTCATAGATTCTATTAGTGGCTGGGCGTCGGGAAGCCTGAATGGTTTGGATTACAGTCTCAGAAAGATTAACCGTCCTCAAGACCTCCTGCTCAGCCTCCATGCGGCTAGGCAGAGCCAAGATAGGTCGGGGTGTTGGATGGAATCCTGATGAAGAAGGGACGGTATCAGGGGAAGACGCTACTCTGGCCCCACTGAGAGGTTGATGAGGTCCACGAATCACGGCCGGTGCAGCCAATGGGGGGCGAGCAGAATTAGCTTGGCCTCCTCCTCTATCATTTTATGAATGACCCTCTGTATTAGGGGGAAGGGAGGAAAGGCGTACAGGAGCCTGTGGGGCCACCTGGACCTCAAGGCATCCATCCCTTCTGCGCCTGGTGTTGTGTAGCGAGACAGATATCTGGGCAGCTGTTTGTTGGATGCCGTTGTGAAGAGATCTAGGACCGGGGTCCCATACCTGGTCGACAGCTGTTTGAAGATGTTGCTGGGGAACAGCTGCTGTTGGTCTTTTGGAATAGCAGAAGAAACCATTGGAGGCAACGGCTGTGAAGCCACGCCCAAGGAATGATGGAGAAACAAGAGGCCATCTTCCCCAGCAGTTGAGACAGCTGGAGAAGGGGGGCCTGACGCTTCCTTCATACCTCTAAGGCTAATTCCCTGAGGCTGAGCTGTCTCTCCCGAGACAGGAAACTTTCCCCTGGGCCAAGTCGATGAGAGCCCCCAAGTGGACTAGACAAGAGGTGGGGGTCAAGTGGCTTTTCTCCTCATTGATGGAGAACCCCACCTCCTGAAGTACCTGAAAGGTGTCTTGTAGATCCCGCAGGGCCTGGGTGCGTGACCTGGACAACAGGATGATGTTGTCCAGGTAACAAAAGATCCGAATGGGTCTGGCACGGAGGTGAGCTGCTACAACTGACAGGATCTTGGTGAAGACCCTTGGGGCTGATGATAGCCTGAAGGGAAGGGCGCGATACTGGAAGTGACGGCCTGCATAGACGAATCAGAGAAATCGTCTGTGTTGCTTGTGAATGGGTACATGGAGGTAAGCCTCTCTGAGGTCCACTGAGATTAGGAGATCATGTCTGTGCACACTCTCTAGAATTGAAAAGAGAGAGTGCATTTTGAACTTCCTGTACCTGATGAACCGATTCAAGAATTTCAGATCGAGGATCGCTCTCCAGCCCCCCGAAGACTTTGGCACAATAAAGAAATGAGAGTAAAAAACCCATCCCACCTGGCCTAGAGGCAAAGGTTGAATGGCCCATATGAGGAGCAGGTGATGGATGGATGGAAATGGGGCAAGGGACAAAGTGGTTCGGAGGGCTGGAGCGTAAATCCAAGAGAAGGCCGAATCTGATTGTGACCCTGACTCACGCGTCGTTGGTGATGTTGTCCCAACGATCTACAAAGGTCGACAGCCGACCCCCTATGGGGAGATCTTTCAGGCAGTCACTTCTGCCTCTTGAAGGATCAGTTGGTATTGTCCCTGAATGACTTTCTGGGCTGGAATCTCTAGCTGTTTCTGCCTGTGCTGTTATTAAAGGAGGGATCCTGTCTGGGAGGAGCCTGATGCTGTGGACGGGAGCTGGAGGAACCTCTGTCCTGACCCCGAAAGGGCTGTCTGCAATAAAAGGATTGGCTTCAGCCCTCCTGCTTCTTAGTGGCCAGCTGCAAGATCGTCCACTTATCCTTGGACTCCACCAATAGGGGGTCCAATGGGGCTCCGAAGAGAAGGGATGAAGAATAGGGAGAGGAGGCAAGCCTCCACTTGGCCCGGGCTTCTGCTTGCCACTGCTTTAGCCAAAGCAGATGACAGGTGGAAATGGAGGATGCTATGGCCTTGGACGCAAACCTAGCCGCGTCCAAGGAAGCA